GGGGAGAGAGGAGAGGACAAATTTCAGGATTTAATTATTTGGAATGCTCCGAATATCTCATCTCTAATCAGTACTCCATCAGCAGATGCCTACACATGTATGTGCACACTCAGCTTCCCCAAAGTTATTTGGATGCATAGGGAAGCTTGATTACTTTCACTGTAAGAAATTTAGTTACATTCCTATCCATTCTTTCCTCCAAGAAGCTCAAAGCTGCCTGCACAGCTCTCCTACTTCTCACTTTATTCTGCCAACTCTTTCAGGCCACTCTGGCTGAGATTGATGGGGTCAAAGTCACCTTGTCAGTTCTGAGGCTTGATGGATTTACGCTTAGAAGATTTCGTTCAGTCTCTTCTGTAGGTTCAGACTTCTGTGCTGAATCTTTTCTCCAAAACTGCTGAAGGTTTCAGAATTAGCACAGGCTTTGCCTTATGTGATGGTGAGAGGGCAGTTGCACAACTTTCCTCCCCACTGGGCTACTGTTTGTACAACCAGTCACACACTGATTGTGATCAGGCACATGAGTGATTCTACGAAGGGCATCCCGCAGAAGGGGGAACCCAATACTGTATGCATATGCCCTTATTTGTGTGGATTTTCTCAAGAAGGTCCTCACCTTTGTCTTTAAATCTTCAAATCAAATTATTTTAGAACTGCAGAGCTGGAAGGGACCCTATAGGTCGTCGAGTCTAGACCCTGTCAGGTACGCACAGTGGGGAATCAAACATACAACCGCTGGCTCCGCAGCCAGACACTTAAACCATGCTGCAGAGCTGGAAGGGACCCTATGGGTCAACAAGTCTAGACCCTGTCAGGCACAGTGGGAATCAAACATACAACATCCCAGTGCTGGGGAAAAAGTAGGAGATGAAAGTTTGAAATCACTAAAATATCTACAGCAGTTGGAAAGCCAACACAGTGTGAGTTCCTACCTGTTCAGTGGGTAAAGCCGCCCAGAGACCTCTGGGTAGTTTGGGCGGCATATAAATTGAATAAATAAATAAAATAAATAAATAAAGCAGGAGGCACTGCATCCACCCTTCCTGTTCCTAATGCACTCCCCACTTCCAGAGTTATGAAGTAAAGCCATTGCCATTACTGAAGCCTGCTGCTGATACCCTAATCCTCCTCAAGCTAAATTTTGCAAAAGGGCAGAAGAGTCACGGGGAAGGTTGGGAGATGGCTGTCTTGCACAGGCGGTGACAGATGCTAGCTTAGTGCAGCTGGAAGTATATTGCCTATAAATATTAATGAGCAGGAAATCACAAAACAGAAACAATAACTTTGGGTCATTAACACTGAACACAACCAATTAGTGTTGATACCAGCATTTTCTGGTATTGCTACTTGGTAGACCTTTCAGCTGTGGATTCTGAAACTTTCTGTTGTTTTCAACAGCATTGCAAGCTGACTGGAATCCAATCCCTCGAGAGGTTTTACACTTGCTATCTTGGGCATGTATGTAAATTTTTTCCTTGCCTGTTTCCACAGCAATGTTCAAACTGTGTAAGACAGTTTTGATCTTTGAAGATAATATGTATATATGCCTTTTGCTTAGAACAGGGGTCTCCACATTTTTCAGTGGGAGGGCCACATCATATATGCTCCACATTTTTAGGGCCGAAGGAAGGCGCACACACGCACATATGAGTGCACTCCTGATCGCCTGCAGGGCTGGATAAAAAGGCAAGGCAGGCCACATGTGGCCTGTGGGCCGTAGTTTGGAGACCCCTGGCTTAGAACAATGATTATGCAAATGACCAGAAGTAGGTAAGCATTATTTTCCTTTTTATTCCCCATCAACCACATAGTGCAATGTGAAGAACTGTAACTTTGTACAGAACGGTTCAGAAATATTTCAAACTTCCTTAAAACAGAATATGACACATCCCTGAGATGACATTTTCATAAATTTTCCTTGTTCCCTATAGTCTATATATGTATATATAAAAATACACCTATAAGATTTACTCTTACTGAATTCCTCTTATGATGGGGGCTGGAGTACTCAAAAGAAAATCTGTAGATCAACATTTTGGGTGATGAGCAGTTCAATGCCACTCGTTGCAAACCACCTTGATTTGGAAACCATTTCCCTACCTACCACATTTTTTATTCAATCTGCCCACGTCCCCATCAAGTCATTCCGGCCTCCTGTGGGGCTGTAATCTAATATTTGGTGGCAAACAGGTAAGCAGAACATTATGGTGCAAGAAGAGAGAACAGAACAGGTATGATTTGAGGCAAGGCGGGGAGGGGGAGTTAAACATCTTTACTCCCCATTATTATCTCAAAATAAACTTTCAGGAATAGGATAGAGTTAGCTGCTTGCATGCATAAAATGTACCTTGGCTTCAAGAAGCTGAGCTTACTTGCAAGGAAGTGTGCTTATAACGGCAGCCATACGTTGCAGGCCTCTGAAGTCACTTGCTTCTATTTTGTCTGTCCGATAAATATAACACATCCACACTGCAGAATAGTTCTCGTGCATAACTTGTGGATCTCAGTGTAATCTAACAAGGACTGATGTTTTTTGTTGCTTGCCTCAGACTGGGAATTATCATGCACACAGAAAGCTCTAGGGTAAAATTAGGGGGCCATTTTCAAGGGCACAAGTTGAGCAGGTTTGGGCAAATGCTATTTTAACTAAACAGCCCCTATTAAATGTTGATCTGTTTCAGGTGGATTTGATTTAACAAAAGTTTCCATTTCAAGCAGATGATCCCTTGGCATGAGCGAAAACAGGAAGGCATAAAACCTAGGTACACACCTCTTCAAGGAGAGTTCAGTTCATGGTGTTTTTTTTAAAATGACGTTTTGGTGAATATATGCTGCTCTGAATGTTAATTTACATACAATGGGTCTATTTTCAGCTTCAGTGCACTCATATTAAACAAGGCCAAAGCTCCTTTAAAGAAAGCCCATGTTTCCTGCCTTTAAAAAAAGGAGATAGTACATTCCACCAGATCAGTTCCTATGGCAGTGGTTCCCACCCTTGGGTAACCCAGGTGTTCTTGGTCTGCAACTCCCAGAAACCCCGGCCAGCACAACTGGTGGTGAAGGCTTCTGGGAACTGCAGCCCATGATGACCTGGTTTACCCAAGGTTGGGAACCATTGCCTTAGGCCATCAAACTCCTCAAGAGCTGCCATGGAGGAAGCCGAATTACCTTCTGGATAGCAGTTGCAGTAAAAACCAGCTCCCCCGCTGTTTCTCTGTCACAGAGGACAGTCTTTCTTGAATTCAAGTATAAGGAACACTTATGAACCAAGAGAAAGCAGAAGAGAAAAACAAACTACACTCTGGTGACCCACTTTGTGGGCAGTGAAACGTCCTTTGAAAACAGCATTGCTATCTCCTCCTGCCTCTGGGCTGTGGCTTAGCAAACGCCAGTGCGGCTGGACCGCCAGTGATAGCAGCATTCTCTAGTGAGTATCATAACCTAAAGGACATTTGCAGTTAGTCTTTCCTCCACACTTAAGGACAGCAGACAATGCAATGCAAGGACAACACTGACAGGACATTTGGAAACAGTATTGTAACCAAATGATACTCAGGCCAGCAACAGACCTGCATATTTGTCCAAAGGCTGCAGTGCTGGTCTGAACATTGTATGGAACCTGTTCCAGCAATATCCTGGCCCCTTCCTGAAGGCTCACAACAAGTGATCTAAGTGGATTACCAAAGAGGCTGAATCACTGCAATGAAAGCTACTTGAAGCAGCAGATACTTGGAATCTTGGATACTTAGAATTCAAACTTCTTCTTTTTTTAAAAAGGGATTTTCACCCCATTTAAAATTATTTGAACAGACACAATGATGCAGCTTATTTGATAACCTTCCCTTTACACTACAACTAGAAACGTGCAACGTACGGCCAGCGTTGTTTTGCTGTTTGGCTGACGGGTCAAGGAAGGAAATTTCTCTCTTCAGCTTTTGTCTTTTTTTTTCCTTTAAAGGTCATTTCCCAAGTATTCTATAGATGGAACGCAACCACTCTGAACACTTACCAACTTTGATACAAGACCTTCATTTGTCCCAATTATGTTGCTTTTGTTTAAATAAGAGTATGGCAAACAATTCACTAGGTTCTCTTCAACTTTCTGCTCCTAAGGCCAGAATACTCTGATTTATTCAAGACCATTATGACCACAGCGATAAATCCCAGAAGGCTTCCAAGAACGGGGGGCCCACAGGGGCTGAACTCCTGGGCAATTCCTGAGAGAAGAGGTGAAATTATGCGGCCCACAGCTGAGACTGACTGACCGACACCTATGAGCATGCCACTGGCTTCATTCCCGCCCAGGGCTAGTTCAAGGTCAGTAATGCAAGTACGTCCAACGGTAGTTGAAAATGCTAAAGCTGTGGAAGACAAGATCACAATCCACACACTTGCTGATGAAGAATGTAACATCATAAACACACAAGTGACAACGCTTGACCGTAGTAAGATGGCATAGGTCTGGTGCTGGTACAGTCTTGTGATTGGTCCAAGCAGAAAGCCAGCAGCTACTCCGAGGGCGCTGCTGTAGCTTATGAGATAGCCCGTGAATTTAGGCTTAATCCCAAATCTCTCTTCAAGTGCCAAGACAAAATTGCTATGGTACAGCATGACTGCAATGGACATCAAAAGCCGTACCAGAAAAACATCCCACAGATCAGACCTTGCGATGCTGCTGAGCCTCTTCAGCACAGATAGAACCTGAGTCCAAGAGGATACAGCGGGAGGACTGCCTTCCATAGCGTCGTGAGGTAAAGAAATAAGCTCCAAGTTTTCTTCCTCCTCTGCTGAGAGAACATCTTTCACTTTGTTAGTGGCGGTCCATTCATTGCCGTATATCTTTTTTTCACACCACAGCAGCATCCAAAAAAGACCTGTGAAGGAAATTGACAAAATCAATACACACTGAATATGGGCTATATGATTTTTAAGAAAAATCAAACATTTATCACTACAATACTGTTAAAACAAAACTGGTGTGCAGCTAGTGCTTTGAACCAGTTCATACGACTCTCCGAAGGAGAACAACTAAGAATGTATTACCAAAACATTCTCTGTAACTAACAGTTTATATGCAATAGCAGTAATGAAACTGCACACGAAACTGACTGATGATATGTATGAATCCAAAGAATATATATACACGGTGTATATAAACAGAAGTTTTGGAGGAGGGTGGGGTTGTATGAGGTCCTTCAAAGTCCTGGTGTGGGTTTGGTAGCTCCTGAATCTCTAGAAGTTGCCCACCCCTGGTTTAAATAGAAGACCAACCAAGAAAAGCCTTCTTTTCTCTTTCCTAAATTAGGTTGCTCAGATGGAGAAAGCAGGGAGAGGCCCAGTGGGGTGTCTTAGCAGTACTGACATACACATATACATACATGTGTAATCATATGGAAGATGCTTCCCTGTTTCTTTGCTGGCCAGAACTGAGGTCTGATGCAGGAAGATCATTTTTCTGTTCTGAGGAAGTACCTGTTTAAAAAGGAGCTGCCCACTGCTGCCACCAACCCTTGCACCTGTATGTCTACAGTGATTATACTGAATTTATTGCTTAACACTAATTTATTGCTTTGCATGAATAAGTTATAAAAGCTTGATGAAAGTCATACATTAGAAATCGCTTTTTGAGGCATTTAGGTGCAAAACATCCAACAACGTACCAGCGTTCAAGATGAAGAGGGATGCACAGATGAAGGCTGTCAGGAAAAAGCCACCTTCTAACTCAGTAAGGTAGCCCCCAACAATAGGTCCTAAAATGAAACCGGTACTGGAAGCTGCGTTGAAATGTCCTATTACCAGGAGGCGTTCATTCTCAGGAACCAAGTCAGAGATTACAACCTTCGAAACAGAATGAGTATGTTTAAAAATACCTACAAAATAAAAGAGGTATTTAGAGTGGTCATGTACACTAAAATAAAATTAGAATTAAAAATAAGTATGTGGTCTTATGAATCTAATACCTTTTTTTAGCCACCCATTTAAAAACTCTGTACAGTGGTGCTTCGCTTAACGATTGCCCCACATTATGAATCCGCTTTACGACAATCTTTTTGCAATCTCAATTGCAATCACAAAACGATGGTCTAAATGGGGGAATTTTGCTTTGCGATGCTCGGTTCCCTGCTTCGGGAACCAATGCTTTGCAAAATGGTGTTTTTAGAACAGCGGATTGGCGGTTTCAAAATGGCTGCCGGGTAATTAAAATGGCTCCCCGCTGTGTTTAGGGACGGATTCCTCGCTATACAGGCAGCGAAAATGGCCGCCATATGGAGGATCTTCGCTGGATAGTGAGTTTTTACCCAATTGGAACGGATCTTTGCTGGATAGTGAGTTTTTACCCAATTAGAATGCATTGAACGGGTTTCAGTGCATTTCAATGGGGTTTTTATTTTTGCTTTACGATGTTTTTGTTTAATGGTGACTTTCTTGGAATGGATTATCGTCGTTAAGCGAGGCACTACTGTATATCATGTGCTATCAAGTCGGAACTTATAGCAACCCTAAGTAAGTGAGGTATTTAAGGAGTGGTTTAACCAGTGATCCTCTAGTGGGTTTCCATGGCTAAGGGGAATTCCAAGCCATACCTCCTGAGTCTTACATAAACTCTGTTTTATGGATCACTTTATGTACAATACTATACTGGGTATCCCTGTTTCAAAACCATCCTAATAAAATTAATAAACTAAGCCTTTAAAAGACGCTATGAAAATACATTGTGAAATGTCTGGAGTAAAATCATTTTGAAGTCACATGTAGTAATTTGCTTTTCGGGTCAGTGTGTGCATCCTCTTGGGAAAACTATTAATTTGTTTTTAAACTGTGTTTTATATGGGTGGAAGGGGATTTTCATTTGAGGATTTGTCCTGAGCCCACTTGCCCTCGCTCTGGCTGCCTCCCAAAGCCACTTCCTGCTGCTGTCCTGTTTTTTTTAAATTTGTTTTTTAAATCTTCCCAAGTGGAACAGCGATAGTCTGGCATGAATTGTAGTGGGGGAAAAACAGATGGGAATGCAAGCTTTCAGCTCTGATCTTGCACATTTATCTGGCCAGTTTCACTTTGCGATGGAGGCATTCACATATGTCAAAACCATTAAAACACATCAATTTTACATCTGCATTAAAATAAAAGACCCTCTGCTGCCAGTAAAATACCACACTTCTGATTAAAAAAATATGATTCCTGGGCAAAAAAAAATCTATGCTTCCATATACATCATCTAGTTGCCTTTTAAAAATCAATTTAAAACATGCTAAATCTGACTGAAATACTTTTTTTTACATGTGTGATCATGCTCTTAATGAAATATCCTCAAAATTATTGTATTGATAACAACATTCACAATTTAGCTACAGGGTTATTACTGTTACTTTTAAAGTTTATATTTTTATTTTTGTTTTCTATTACTTATGTTGTAATCTGCCCAGAGTAGTGCCTTGACACTAATGGGAGCAGGAAACAAATTGAACAAACAAACAATATTTTTGGGTCCCATTAATTCTCATGGCAAAAATACACTTTAACTTTCTCATTGGAAAAATGGATATTAAAAATGAGTGATGCGTTCAGATCCTGCACAATATATTCAACTGTTTGGAATATTCTATTAGCAAGCTAAAGCTTATCCAAACTTTTTCCTAAATAGATGATTGGTCACTTACCTACAATAATCCGAGCTATGGCAAATAAAAATATATTGGTGGACATACTAAGCACAAAGTAACCCAACGCACTGAAGAGAATACAGACAAGTAAGCAATATGATCTTCCTACTATATCACTCCAAGATCCCTGTATAGGACAAAAACATTCAACAAGAAAATAAATAAATACAAACAATATACAAATACAAATCAACACATAAGTAAATCAATCAGTCAATCAAACCACTGACTAGCTAAACTATCATTTCATTAAAGAAGCATGACATTGAATATCACAGATACAATTACTAATAAAAGGCAGCTTTAAACAGTTATGTATTTACTCCATTCTTAAAAACTGAGAGGGAAGGAGCCTGGCAAACATCTGCTGAAAGTTTATTCCAAAGATGGGGGGGCACAACCAAGAAAGTTCTTTTAACACCTTTGACTGTGAAGAACGAGTGGGATGGGTAGCTGCTTAATAAGAGATGTTCTGACAGGTATTGAGGTCCTAAACCAGTGGTTCTTAACCTTTGTTACTCGGATGTTTTTGAACTGCAACTCCCAGAAACCCCAGCCAGCACAGTTGGTGGTGAAGGCTTCTGGGAGTTGCAGTTCAAAACTCCTGAGTAACCCAAGGTTAAGAACCAGTGCCCTAAACTACCGTATTTTTCGCACCGTAAGACGCACTTTTCCCCCACAAAACAGGGCGGTGGAAAGTCTGTGCGTCTTATGGAGCGAAGAAAACAGATTATATTTTCCTGTTTCCTTCTCCTAAAAAATTGGTGCGTCTTATGGAAAGGTGCGTCTTATGGAGCGAAAAATACGGTATTTAAGGCTTTAGAGCCAAAGACAGCACTTTGAATTGAGTACGGAAACTGACAGGGAGCCAATGGAGACATGCCAAGATTGGAGATATATGGTCATATCTGTTTGTACCTGGGATCAGTCTGTTTTCCGCATTTTTTGACCTGCTGAAGTTTCCACACTAACTTCAAGAACATTTAGTCATGCTTAGAGAAGCTCCATTGAAATCAATGGGAGAACTTAATCATGACTAATTTCTATCCTATAGGATTCAATGGGTCTCTATTTTAACTCTATGTTCAGATTTAACAAAAAACTTAGTTTCATTACATTGCTTACAAATTTTCAAAATGAAAATAGATTGCAATTTTAAAGAAATTAATACATTTATAATGTAACCCCTCTGACGATTACAGATTGCTTCTGAAGTTACCTAAACTGTGTGTTAATAACAAAAAGTGATCACGAGGGCAAGATCACAGAGAATTTTGAAAAGAAGCTAGCAAATGGGAGATGTTATGTGGGTTTATACTGACATCAGCACTGATAACTACACAAGAGTCTAAATACGGATGTGACAACAACAGATAAAATGCAATGTCTGGCTGCACATTAGTTTCACTTGTGCAGATGTAAGATGTTGAAGCTGGAATTATGTAAGGTGTGTTTGATTGGAGGCTGGGTGAGTGGTGGCAAAGTGTCAGTTTGGGACCTGCCACTTGTACAAAGTCAAATTATATTCAAAATTAAGGAACCACATGACATTTACCTACTTAATCTCCATCAAAAACAATTAAAGAAATAAATCTAGCTTCTGAATGTAAGATATGGAAACAACAGTAATAGTTTAATTATTTTTCAAAGCAGAAATCAGTTCCTGCCCAGGTTCTACCTCCTCCCAGGCTTTTAGGGAAGAATCACCACTGGAGATGGCGGTATTCGTATTTGTATATGAATATCCCCACACAGGTGGTGTTAATGAGGGTCCAGCCCCATGGGGCCGGACGGTCCACTCACCCATCTGCCATGGATGCAGACCGCGCGATTCTACCAATGGATCCGCACTGCACGATCCGCTCGCCACTCCTGGCGGGAGCCCAAGCCTCACTGCAAGGTCGAAGAGTGGCGAGTGGATTGTGTGCTGCGGATCCATTGGTAGAATCGTGAGGTCTGCGTCCGCGGCAGATCAGTGAGTGGATCGTCCGGCCTCATGAGGCTGGACCCTCATTAACACCACCTGTGTGGGGATATTCATATACAGTGGTGCCTCGCTAGACAGTTACCCCGCATGACAATTTTTTCGCTAGACATTGACTTTTTGCGATTGCTATAGTGATTCGCAAAACAGTGATTCCTATGGGGGAATTTCGCTGGACAATGTTTGGTCCCTGCTTCGCAAACTGATTTTCACTAGACAACAATTTTGACAGCTCCCTCCGCGCTCACAAAACAGGTGTTTCTGGGGCCTAAGCTTCACAAGACAGTGATTTAAACATCTGATTGGTGGTGCACAAAGCGGCTTTCCTATGGCCGATCTTCGCTAGACAACGACGATTCTTCCCCATTGAAATGCATTAAACAGGTTTCAATGCATTCCAATGGGGAAATGCTTTTTGCTAGACAACGATTTCGCTAAACAGCGATTTCAGTGGAATGGATTATCATCGTCTAGTAAGGCACCACTGCACAAATACCCCCATCTCTAATAACCACTGTTGTCTCTTGATTGTACAGCCAGTACTTCTAGACTGAGATTCAACTGCCTCGTGCAAGTGCTGGTTGACTGCATTTTGCTTGTGCAAGGGATGGCAGAGGAGACCCAAAACTAGGCTCTTGGCCAACAAAATCCTTGCCAGGTTGTCATTCAGGGACCAAGTACTCTGAGGTACTGCAGCCCTGAGGTCACTCAGCCCAGGAGGGATTCTAGCAGGACCATCTGGTCCCTTGGCCTCATGCTTCATCACTCCTACAGCACAATGCATGGCAAAGCATTTCTGGAAATGGATGAATGTATTCAAAGATAGTTTGTAATACAGGGGTCATTTGTCTAGTGGCAATGAGGACAACACCAGTTCCCCTGAGTCTGTCTGGTACTTCACATGAAAGCTTTTCCTTTGCACATCCCACCACCAAATTATATCTTTAAGTTGATCACAGTGATTTTGTATAATTTGCATCACATATTTCTACCTTACTTACACAAACCTCACGTATCCTGACAGAAGCCTAAAGGACAAGCTTTGCTAAAAGACAGTGATTTGCTTTTGTAAGCTAAATACCAGAATAAGGTTTTGAAGAAGGTATTCCATATTTAAATACAAGATTCTTCATTACTGCATCACACTAGTAGAGCAAATTTAAAAAGGCCAGAAACTGTTCATAATCCAATAGAACTAACTTACCACTAATGTACTGGAAAATAGTTGTAGAATTCCATATAAAGACCCTGAAAACAAAGAAATGATTGGGGAGGGGGGGAAAACTATTAATAATCTTTCAACAATATATGTTATACAGTGGGAAAACAGATTATCTTCTGACATGTTTACTTCACAGATTCTTCTCGATAAATAAATCCCTTAAAACTGAATCATAAGCGACAAAACCACTGTTTGTGAGGAACAAAGATAAAAGAAGCAGTGTAAATAATACTAAGTTTAGAAGTAAAATTAAGGGCAACAATGCATTTTGGAAAATATTGTAAAAACTACTGATATCATTAGGTGGTTTTGAAGGGGAGATGTAATGAGTGAACATTTACTTGCTAATTCAAAACGTTATTTCAGGGTGTTTGTGGGGAATTCAAAGCCATTTTGCTATTTTTAAGTGATTTTAAATTTTAAAAAAACCCTAAAAAGTAATGCATTGACAATCTGTTACTAATGAGCAACACTGCCCATTTCTTCTAAGAAAAGAAAAACAACTTATTGTTAAAAAGCCAGAATAATATATGAAAAAAAGAGAATTACAAACGGAACACAATTTGCGTCTTGCATCTTGCTACTCTTTCCGCAATTCAGCTAGGATACTCTGTCTTCCCAATTTTTGAAGACATTGCATGTGCATCTATTCATTTACAATTTCATATACTTGTACCTTTTTTTAAAGAAAGAAAACCACAATACATTTTTGAACAAATGAAAAACTTCCCCCTAGAAAATGGAGGCAGGAGGTGGTTCGTGATACCAACTGGCACTATAAACATGCAATTTACATGTAAACAAGCCTTCCCTTCCGGCTTTAGCTTGACCCTGAAGAGAAAATGGCTTATTTCACTAGACCATATGAATGTGTATCTAGCATGACTCCAATGATGTTATTTCTCTATAGATTCTTAAAGAGCAGAATTATACAAATTTATGGGAGAGAGTTACTAACAATGATCCCTAAGAGCAGAAGACCAATATGCTTCATATTACCAAATATTAAAGGACAAATATAAAGGTTACTTATTCAATGTTCTGCCTACATTATTAAAAATCAGAGAGTATAATACTTCAGACAGTAAACATGCTTTAAAATAGTAAAAAGTCATGTGGCTTCTTTAGGCTAGAATCCTGCTAGCAATGTATACATGTATAAATTGTGCAAGTTACAAAATAGTCGCAAGTTGCAGTGGCAGACTGCTGCTAATTAACAGGGTGCCAGTTGTGTGATCAGTGTACAACCAAGAATACGACAGGCATCCCATTACTAAGAAACAATTCATTACTGTGACACATGCGATTTAACTGATGCACATATAAATTGCCAGTAGGGTTTGCGTTTAAGAATATGACACAGCATAATTCAACTAATGTTGGCCAAAGGGCAGCAGTCCCAACTCAAGCTCTTAAGTGACATCATCACAAGCTGGTTACTCTAGGGCAGGGGTTTGCAACCATTTCACATGGAGGGCCACACAATATATTTGCAATATTTTCGAGAACTGAAGGAATGTGCGTGTATGCACGTATGCCCACCTGCACAGCCACCTGGGAAGAAAAGGCCAGGTGGGCCGGATGTGGCCCGCAGGCCGTACTTTGGAGACCCCTGCTCTAGGGTGTACTGGGAAGTTTACAGTTTTACAGTTCTAGAACCACAGGTAGTTTTGGTAACTTCAAACAGTGACTTCTGAGTTCACCTACAAGGGGCTCAAATTAAAGATAAGCTGAACTAGCTGAAGATTACTGAAGCAGCGTACTATGCCTTGCTTTGAATGGTCCCCCAATTTTCAAGTCAAGATGATGTGCTTACCTACCACTCCTGCAACTGTTGGGCTCGCTCCTAAAGACTTGACGTGGAGGCTTAATAAGGGTACAATCATGCTGACACCAAAGAAATCCTCAAAAACAGAGAACAGAACATTTTTAGTAAGTTCAGACATATGACACAACCACAGTTAGGAAGAACTTGGAAATTTGCCTTTTTTGGACTGCAACTGCCAGAATCCTCAATCATAGACTAGATTTTTTGGGGCAGCTGTAGTCTGAAGAAGTAATGTTCAGAGTTCTCATTTTAAGAACACCTCCCCCCCCCATTGTACTACTATGGTCACAGTAACATAAAGTCATGTGCTACAGAAATCCTAGCAAGTTCAGGAAATAGGTGCATGTTCATAACACCAGGCAAGTGTAACTACATTTGCCTATGAAAGACCATTAAGAAATATTTTTGAACTTGGCTGCCATTCTGAACTACTGAATGGAGCCTCAACATCTAATGTCTGTGGAAGGTCTTAGGAAAAGAGAAAACATGCACTAATTGGGCACTAGCTCTTATCTAATACAGAGAGAACCCCACCGTCATTTCTCTGCCTTTTTTGAAACAATAGCTATACAGTCTTGCAAGCAAACAACAAATAAAATGAAGCCACAAAGGATTTTATTAGCTCTTGTTTGCAAGCCTATTCTAATAATGTGTACTTGCATTCAAGGAGCCCAGTTTCTTTCTCAGGCAGAGAATTCTATGGCTCTGCACACTCCCTTAATCCTTTTAATACAAAATTCTGTTGCTCACTTCAGTCTTAGTTGCCACAGACAACTGGTTGAAACTGCACTTGCTGTATAATGATGATGATAATGATAACAGTAGCTTTTGAACCGCAGAGCCGGAAGATCATCAAGTCTAGCCCCTCTCAAGGAGGAACATTGGGGAACTGAACTCCCAACCAACTGAACTCCCAAACTTCTGCAGCCAGAAAAATAAGCCACCGAGCTATCCAGCATCCTCTCCCCATCAAGGAAGAGGTGCAAAATAAAGGTTCTAGTTTGTGGCGCCCCAGCTAAAGCATTTTAGTAGGTGCTGGTAAACATATTTTGGATACAACAATGAGGAAGCAAAGTTATCTAAAATTACGCAAATAAGGAAGTTTTAGGAGAGTGGACATTGATGAATGGTACCCTTTCTCTGCCTGAGCTTTTAAAATAGTTAGTTAGATAGAGTAGATGATGGTAAACTCTTAGTGGTTCCCAACTTTGAAAAAAATGCTTTCAAAACAGCTTCATTGTTCTAGAAATAACTGTATCTTACAGCATTAACCTGAAATTTCTCTACAAGAATTCAGTTTTTCTATATGAGGAGAATTTTCTTTATGGAGGCTCACGTAAATAGTTACTCCCCATAATACAAAGATTACTCTTTTGCTGCATTAAGACTGGTGGGAAGACTGAGCTGTGTGAGGAAAATTGGAACTTCTCATATTATGGTGATAGACGAGAATCAATTCAGAGTAATATGTTATTGGAGGCAGAAATCCTGGATGGGGGAAATGAATTTGGGAAACAGAATTGAGGGGAAATTACCGTGTGACCTGGCTCAGTGGTTTAAGTATCTGGCCGTGCAGCCAGAGGTTGGGGGTTCGATTCCCCCACTGTGCCTCTTGCAAGTAGAGCTAGCTTGTGTGGCCTTGGGCAAGCTGCATAGTCTCAGAGCAACCCCAGTAGAAGGGAATGAGAAACCACTTCTCAGTATTCTCTACCTAGAAAATCCCAAAGTCAGAATTGACTTGATTATTATTAATAAATGGAAAATTAATGGGGGGGAAACAAACCAAGAGTAAACTGCCAGGAAAGGTGATGACTTGACACTCAGATTCCATGCTGCCTTTAGTCATTTCGTGGTACTGTGAAATCACTTTGCCTCCACCTGATCCAGCAATGTTTCAAACAGCTGCATGCTTAGCAAGGAGAGGTGAGATGTACTGTCTCCAAACACAGAGGTTAATTAGTATGCCTAAAAGGAAGCGCAGACCTCAGTGGGTACCTGATCCACAAGATGGACTACAGCAGTTGTAGCTTGGCCAGGGAAGTGTAGGCCTTGTTACAATCTCCAGTGTCTGAATACACTGCTAGTGGGGTCCTGGATGCCCTCCAGAGTGTAACTACTGTACTTGATTTCAGTGGCTAATTGTAGAAAATAGCCACTACCTTTGCATAATAAGGAAGAAAAAGCCTCATCCATAAACTGTATCCAAGCCCTCTAAAGTGTACAGTCCGTGTTTACAAGCATTTCCACGTCAGTATCTGGTTTTCGAAAGAGAATCGCAGCATCCCACTTCTGTGTCAATAAAACCCTCTTTCCCTCCCCGAAATCGTCTCGCGTGCTCCCACTTTTGCTCTCCTGCCGGGCTCAAATTTGCGACCCGGAATATGCTTTTCCCCCCTCCCTCAAATCGAATTCGTCCCGAGGGCAGGCAGCGTGCCTCTGAGCGCGTGCAGTGTGTAAATTCTCCGTACGGGGATGCAAGTTACAGCGTCTCCGCCTCGCCCCTCTCCCCCCCTTTTGATTTTACAACGTGATCGGGATTCACTCCGGATTCCCGAGCAGGAGTGACCCTTCTGTCTCCCTTACGGGGCTACCGGGTCCTCCTCCTCCTCCTGCCCAGCCCCTTGCCGTCCTTGCCCAGCTCACCAGGAAGCCCACCGCGTACAGACACAGGATGAGCCGGCGGGGCCGAGCAACCCCCCGGGCTGACAACGACGATGTCGCCGCCGCCGCTTCAGGCCTTTCCATTCCTCCGGGAAGAAGAGGAGGAGGAGGAGGACGAAGCGGGGGCTGCGGGTCCCTGCTAGGACTCCCATTCTCCATGCGGGGCTCCAGGAAGCAACGACCAGGCGGAAGGGCGAAGAGGAGAGCAAAAAGGCACAACCCTCTTTACACCAAGGCCGGGCGGGGACCCAGCCTCCCTCAAGCGAAGCGACACCGGCTCCGCCTCTTGGAAGCGGAGTGAGAGGAAAGAGGAGGATCGGAGGGCGGGCGAGGGAAGGGCCGGACTCAGCGCAGGCGCACCGCCGGCTGGCAAGAAGGTGGTGGCGCGAAGGGAAGGAAGCCCGTGTTGTGTTAAAAACAACACGGGGGGAATCAAGTGGCCCTGAAGGCGTTGCTGCACTGCAGCACCCATCATTTTTCTCCTCGGGCTGTTCTGGCAGGAAGGGGTGATGATGGGCGTTGGACCCCCCCAGCGCAACAGCGTCGTGCCCACGCCCGCTACTACAGGCATAAACTTATTTTCCAGTGGCATTTTCCGATTACTCTTTTGCAACAAGCATGTTGCTCGGCCTTAGGAAAGGCATTATGACTCTGTTAATGCCCTTTGGGACGCTCGTTGAGCCAGATTTTTTTTTTTTTAAAGGGGGGAGTTGCAAAAAAAATGCGACAAATTTAGTAATGAGAGAGAATAGGGTTTCTAAAGTTAAGCGCTGTGTATTTCTACTCAGAAGCAATCCCCATCGAGTTAACTTGGACTTGCTTTCAGGAGGATATGATGGAATTGGAGCCTGGATAAGAACTGAACGTTTTGCCTTAATACAAACGAAGGGCTTCGTTGCGGGAGCAGGGAAATAAGTTGTAATGCAATTGTCTTGGTGACAATAGCTGTGGAGAATTATTTATTTATGAGCACCATTAAAGGTTCCTAAAAACATTCAAATGGACTTGTCCACGAAAATTCACTTTTAAAATTGTTTTGTTTCTTTGGATTTTGCCTGACATTCAAGGAAATTTACTAAAGCAAAAGGTTATTTGAAAGGAGTGCGAAGGGGAAAGATTTGTTAATACAGTAGTATCCACCAACAAGGTGGAAGCTGTTTTTGGTTTAGCATGTTTCCACAGAAAGGGTACCTAGATGGAAATTTATTTTTTTAAAATAGAAAAACATTGGAAAAGAAAAGGGTTTGAGGTAACTGCACTTTGGGTTGGTATTCTAGGCTAGAAGGATGTGGAGCAACACCTTGCTATTCTTACATGATACAAATGTACAATGAAACTGACACCATATTACCTTTGCAATATATTTCCTTATTAAAATGCATATGCAACATCATAATTTACAGCATTTTCCCCCCTGGTCACTTGGCTGAGTAACAGCTTATCTCCACAGGCTCCTTGAAGTGGGCTGGAGCTGGTTAAATAGAGTTGTGGAGAGGTTCACTGTGCCATTTGGTGCAAACCTCACATCCAAATGATATATGCACCTCAAGTGATCCTATTTGGTCCAAGTCCTGTCAATTTGCCATATTGTGAATAGATTTAAGAATACAGCTATTTCAGATACTGTCAAATTAAACACAATATTAGGGCAGCACAGATATGCTGCATCACTTATATATATTTATAAGTGATGCAGTATATCTGTGCTGCCCTAATATATATACTGTAGAATGATGATAATGGATGGGAGACATGATGGTTTCTCCAAAAAGGGGGAAGGGAGTGTGAAATGGAGTGCTGGATTAGCTCCGTGGTTTTGGTATCTAGCTGCAGAGCAAGAAGTTGATTTTCCTCTTTGGCAGGAGCTGGACTTGATGATCCATAGAGTCCCTTCCAGTTCTACAGTATTAACAATTTGTATAGTTTTTTGGAAGACTTGTGCTGCAATGCTGGATAAATATTTCCCAGGGAATAAGACACAGTAAGCTCTGTAAAACGTACTTCTGAGGAGATGTGCGTAGTAATTGATGTTGCAAAATCTGACACATTTTCAATATTTCTTGGTATATCTGTAAGAAATAGGTTTCTACACAGACTGGTAATGAGTGGCTTGATTTTGGTGTTTTTTTTTTAAATCAGCTCATTTGTACGTTAAAAACAGGAAACAGACTTTCTTGTCTCCTTTGTTTCCTTAAAAAAGCTGGATAAAAAAAATCAGCCTCTTTCCATACTTTAGAAGATACCAAATATTTTCAAAAGGTAATATAACAAACAGGTAGTCATGTTTGTCTTATGACAATTTATACCAGAAATAGTAATGACAAATAAAAACACCTTAGTCTTACAGATGCTATTTTCAAAATATTTCAAATATTTTAAAGTAATACTAATTTTCAAACATTGTTCTTATGTTCATTTTTTGAGAAAGACAAAAGACAGCTACTGAAATTTTATTGCAATAAATGGGACATATTCTTAGATTTCTAGATCATAAAAGAGGGAAGATCAAGACTTCCAAATAAGAAATTTATGGTAAAATGTAGCTGTGATTCATATTTCTTTCTGGTCTACAACTTTGATGATTACGGCATTGAATAGCCATCTGAAATGCACTTTGTATAGTCTGAAGACAACTGTTTTAAAGTTTGCCCATTACTTGTGAGGAATATTTTGAAAAAGCATTCAAGAGCAGCAGGTTGTACGTGGCTGATGGAACTTAGTATTTAATATTTCTACTCTCACCTTTTAAAGAAAACAACACAAAGGATCTTACATGTGCAAACCGCAGTCAATGAAATAGTACAGGTGAACATGAACAAAACATGTAGGTGTTACATTCTAATATATCAAGCTTGTGATTGCTCACTTTGCACAAACAAACAAACAAGGCAGTACTAAGAATAATTTACTCAGACAACCAAACAACATTGTTTAGTGGATGTTTCTTCCATAGTAACTGGGCATAAAATGGCATTGAGGCACTGAATATGTGGAATGATTCTTTCTTTCTTTCTTTCTTTCTTTCTTTCTTTCTTTCTTTCTTTCTTTCTTTCTTTCTTTCTTTCTTTCTTTCTTTCTTTCTTTCTTTCTTTCTTTCTTTCTTTCTTTCTTTCGATACATTTGGGCCAGTGACTTTTGTATTAACATTTTTTTTGAACTTTAGAAGATTTGTATCTATATCAGGATAATGAATAATTGTTTCCATAAGAGTGGAAACTCTACAGGGTATGATTTATTTCTTACAATGAAACATAAGGATTTAATTTCAGTTTAAGAGATGCCACTGTGAGATTTTCCTTTAAGATTCATGAGGTGGATAGTGTACAGTAGATTTTCCTTTCACAGGCAAGAGCTATGAAACAGCAACCTTTAAAAGGGAATTGCACAACTTAAAGAATGGAATTCTAGTTTTATTTTTATTCTTATTTTGTTTTAGAAATTGCAAAACTGTAGGCATGGTTGCCAGGAAGTGAATCATTGTGGACATGTGAGTTGAAAGAGATCCACCCATTCACACCAAGCTCTTTGTTCCAGACCATTTTCTAAAAGATCCAGATGCTCCCCAGAAACAGGTAGTATCACAGTTATCTCCCCAGTTGTTCCAACCCATTGACGGTCCAGGACATGCTCTTATAAAAACACATCTGTTCATCTGCTGGATATCTCAGTGGTTTGGAGGTTACTTCTGGGTCTAATTGGCACTGGCAATATTTCCATTCATGCTCACCCATTGCTGAAATGTGTGATGAGGGGGTTCCCACATTGCTGTTTCTGTGGCAGACAGAGGACAGTCCTCTGTTACAAAGAATGTCTAGTTAAGTCCAGATTAAAGTTGAAGATTCATAAGAAGCGAGGTCAGGAGGTATGTTTCAAGTGTTGGCATCTAGATACAGTCAACCCTCGACTTACAAACGGCTCGAGTTACAAACATGTCGACTTACAAACCACTCTGATAGAAAAATATTGACTCGACTTGCACACTTAGATTCGAGTTACAAACAAAAAAAAAACGTGTTTGAGGTGGGGAAAGCATGAAGTTTGAACTTTCAGTTAACCGTTGGCCAGTGAAGAGGGTGCTTATCTACTTCCTCGCTCTTCCCAGCGTTTTGAGAGTGGATTTGGAGACAGTCTTCAGACTGCCTGGTACTGCTGGTATTGCCTGGTACAGTGCGGTACGGACTGTATTTTTATTTTTTGGCACTTTTTAATTTTTGATTTTTGGATTTTTAAAAGGTGTTCCCTCCCTCCTTTGCTGCCCCCCCTTTCCCCAAAAGGTGCTTGTATTGGCTTGTCTTGATTTAAAAGGTGCTTTTCAAGGTGATCTGTTGTCTGAAAGGTGCTTGGTTTTTTCCAGAAGGTACTTGTCTTGGCTGAAAATGTGCTTTTCAGGGTGTTCTGTTGAAAAGGTGTCTGTTCCCTCCTTCTCTCCCTCATTTCTTTCCTTTTTTTTAAACCTAAGTCATCTTAGATTAAAAGGAAAAAAAGAAAGAAATTCTGCCCC